TGTCACCAACATATAGGCCTATTGAGAACCAACAGAATGACAGAAGCCATTTTTTACAGAGACTTGAGCTTCAAATTGGCATTAAAGGAACCACACTAAGCTGGTTTAAGTCATATTTATCAGATCGCTCGCAGTTTGTACATGTTAACGATGAATCTTCAATAAATACTACAGTTAGTCATGGAGTTCCACAAGGTTCTGTACTTGGACCAATACTATTTACTTTATATATGCTCCCTTTAGGCAAAATTATTAGGAATCACTCCATTAACTTTCACTGTTATGCAGGTGATACGCAGTTATATCTATCAATCAAGCCCGATGAAATTAATCAATTATCTAAATTACAAACATGTCTTAAGGACATAAAATCCTGGATGAGCTGCACTTTTCTGATGTTAAACTCAGAAAAAAAGAAGTTCTTGTACTTGGCCCCAAAAATCTTAGAGACTCACTGTCTAAAGATAAAGTTACTCTAGATGGCATTACCTTGGGCTCTAGCACCACTGTCAGGAATCTTGGAGTTATCTTTGATCAGGACTTGTCATTTAATTACCACATAAAGCAAACCTCTAGGACTCCCTTCTTTCATTTACGTAATATTACAAAAATTAGACACATCCTATCACAGACAGATGCAGAAAAACTAATCCATGCATTTGTTACTTCAAGGCTGGATTACTGCAACTCTTTATTATCAGGTTGCCCCAATAAGTCCATTAAAACACTCCAATTAATTCAGAACGCTGCAGCACGAGTACTGACAGGAACTAGGAAAAGCGATCACCTCCCTCTCTCTCCCTCTCTCTCTCTCTCCCTCCCTCCCTCCTCTCTCTCTCCCCCCCTCTCTCCCCCTCTCTCTCTCTCTCTCTCCCTCTCTCTCCCTCTCTCTCTCCCTTTTAACAGGCAGTTTTTCCTTGCCCTTGTCGCCAAGGTCTTGCTCATGGTGGTACTGTTGGGTCTCTAAATAATGTTATAAAGAGTTCGGTCTAGACCTGCTCTATTTAAGTGTGTCCTGAGATAACTTCTGTTATGAATTGGCGCTATACAAATAAAATTGAATTAGGAGAGGAAGACCCCATGGAAGCTCATCAAAATGGGCTGTTGTGGTGTCTGATAGAGGAAGGTACTGCTATTATTCTGTATTTGTAGGGCTGCCCTGATACCACTTTTTCTTTTACAGACTAAATACAAGCACAACTACTGATAATACCATATAGTACCAATAATACAATTACAGTTCTAACAATGACTATAAAACATGTTTTATTTTCATCAGAAGTTCCCCATTTTCTGTAACAAATTAAATATTGTTGTAAGATTTGCTTAAAATATCACCAGACTGCTGACATTTCTTCTCCTCCCCCTACCTGCTCAATAGGTTAGGCAACGTCACACTGCTGTAAAGCGCTATTGGATGTGGTATCAGAGTGGCTTTATGATTACAAGTACATGAGCACAGTATCTGTGTATTCCTATAGATTTGCTTACATGTGAACATGGCACCATTGAAAGTATTCTGAATCAGCCATTAGCAACTCCTGGTTGCACTGGACCCATGGATGTCCTGGCAAATGTCACTGGATTACTCTGATACTAAAGAAAACTTAAAAACATGATGATTCTCCGGCAAGTTCTGAAGAGTCTTTCTGTGATTTCTATGTGAATTTATGGTTTATTCACGATTTACATCAGAGATAATGATATCCCCAAGAAGTGTAAGTCACAGTGAAATATACCAATATGTGTTTCATATCTGTGTATTAAGATTGTGATTTTTGACTCAAATTCACCTCATGCAGTAGCCTCACGTCTCTCTTGAGGAGGCTTCGTGCTTTCTCTTTTGGCTGCTGAATGTCCACGTACATTACAGGTCATGTAAGGTCATGTCCTGCATTTCTCCCATGGTTAAAACACCATCCAGAACGATGAGTTCAATTTTTTTTAGCAGTGGGGGCAGGCCCGTCTGAACACACTTATTTCTCAGCTCGTAGTGCTAAGCAAAGGGCACAGTAACTGACAACTGTTGTTTGTTATCTATTGTTATTGTTATTCCTGTGTGCAACTGAGCAGCTGAGGAAAATCTGCTAGTGTAATTAACTTATCTTGGGCTGGAGAAAACAAGTAAATGTAGCTGTAAAAATAACATACTGTGGTGTATCAGATAATCCAGTGGTAAAAAACAGTGCATGGTTGCACTTTTGTCTGACTTTCCTTCCTTCTTATAAAATCCAAATGTCTTCCAAACTTCAGACTTGATGGTGCACTGTAAATCATGTGTTTATGTACCGACCTCGCAACGTTACGGTCGTCTCTCTTTACGTTGACCAAGCTTCAGTCAACAGATTCATCACTTTAAAGCTCAGTGGGTAGAGCTGGCGACCCATGTCCCGAGGACTTGCTGCAGAACCACACAAGTGTGAGTGTTCATTGCTTCTTTGCAACTTGACTTTACTATAAACCAGGATCTGTCTTGTTTAACATTTGAGAGTTTGTCCTCATTCCTCTTCCTTCTTTCTTCTAACCACCATGAAAACATTATTTAATAAACATTCCAGTTCTTCTATCCACTCATCCACTTCGGCCCTTTGCTACATGTCATCCCCTCTCTCTGCCCCCCTTTCCTGTCTGTCTTCAGCTGTAACTATCATACAGCGGGCAATTGGCCGGTTCATGGTACATTTAGATCCATCCAGGGCATCTATAACGTAAAACTGATTTCTGACTCATATCAGTAAATCTTTACACCCCTAGCAGAGCTCAGCAGACTTGAAACATGGCTGTGTTCACAGTGAATGCCTTCATGCTCAATTCCACTGTGTCTGTATTTTTTAGCATGACTTTATTGTAAGGTGTATGTGCTTCTCAATATGAACTGACAGTAAAGTCCCAGTTTAAAATGCGTCTACAGTGTAAAAACAAAGACCTCTCATCTGTTTCCAGCAGATTTCTGTTTGGCCTTCCACTTTTGACTGAACTGAGGCACTGACCCAAATGGCATCCGTCGACTTTCTCTCCATCAAGTGTTGCTGCCTTGTTGTCCTCTAAAGTTATGTGACAAACCAACTTTGAGCGAGCGTTTTTTCAGACATCAACTTTGTTCAGATCTCAGTAGACATAAAAAAGACTACTTTCTGCGAGTTGATGGAAATGGATTGGTACACTTGCAGCTGTTGTTGGAATGCAGCCTTATTTTGCTAAGAAGAGACAGAGTGGGTGCAGTCCAGTCCAGACAGACAAATCAGCCAGGAGACGCATTTGTGCACTCTGGTAACCCTTCATACTTTACAAAAAAACAGACAATATATTCCTGCATGCTTTTGTCACTTTTACTCCAGCTGAATGTGTCCCTCCACAAGTAGAATTCAAACCTTTAGGTCTGGAGCCCTGAGAGTTTCTCTTGAGCATGCCCCATCTCCATCAAAACACTGACCTCTGATTTCTATACTTGGACTGAACTGAACTTCACACTCTCTAATGAACGAGATTTTTGACCACATTATATCAGCCAACACTGCAGCCATCCTTAAATGGAGATTAACGTCATTACTTTCTTTGGCTGTGGCTGGGTCAACAGTTTACAGTACAGGAGAGGGAGGGTGAAAATGGCCATTGACTGACAACCAGGGTCCAAAATCAGCCTCTGACAAGCACCAAATCAGGTAACTTTTGGGTTTGGCAAAAAAATAAATTGGGGTCACTGGCCACCTCAGTAATACTGAATCGCAGCATAGGGCCAGGTTTACATGGCTGTATTTTTATGTGTACCGGCTGAGAGTGATCACCGTGCTGCGCGCGAGGTCAGAAAATCAAATCAAAGATGCTTACTTCAGTTTGGCGCTTTCTACACACTGTCCAGGGTTCCCACTCTTTTTAAGAAATCCTGTTCCAGGACATTTTTCTTGACAATTTTCTGGACAACACTTGCTCACAAACGGTGGCCAGGGTTTATGGGACGCTTTTTTGTTACCAAGGATACAAATTAAGGCCCTGTTCTATTTAGCCAATTAGAGCCAACATACTCTGTTTGACCTGAATGGAACGGAACCTTAATTAGTATCATTGGCAACACATGAGTTTTAATATTTCAGGTCAAAACAGCTGCTGTGAAAAAGGTCTACTGACTGCTGCTTTCCTCTTACTGGAAAATAAATTTGAAATACAAATAAAATCTCCAGGACAATGTAGATTATTTCCAGGATATTTGGTCCTTTTAACAAATTTCCATGTGTTTCAATGACTGAAAAACTAAATTTCCAGATTTTCCAGAATGTGTGGGAACCCTGACTGTCTGTATGTTTTTAATTGTGAGAAATGTCTGTGTTACATATTATAATTATTGCTGTAAGAGACGCATTTTTTTCATCACCAGACACTGAGTTATGTCCAAGTTTCTCAAATTCTTCTTATTTGTTAAGTTTTCTTGGTGTCCTTGTCTACTATACGTGGGATGAAAAGGCAGCAGTTTAAGAGGTGCTCTAATATGACCTCCCTGTAAAAAAATACCTTAAAAAATTTCAAAATACCAAATGCTCAATTTTGGTTGTGACAGAAAAGTCCTGACTATTCATGTTGGTGCCTGTCATTTGTTCTATTGGAGTGCATTACACTGCAAAGTGTCAGTGGTAGGTAGTATCAGTATTCTTACGTGATATTATTGGTCAATAGAGCTTGTTTGTGTTGCACCATCACCTCCTGGAACGTACTGCCCACACAGATCAACAGCAGAGGATTAGATTATGGTGAAAGGGTGATCTGAGAAGTTTCTATTGGTCTATTTGTTTTTGCCTTTACTCAACACTGAAATTTTAAATCTGTGTGTGGTGTGTGCGACCTACTCCTTTTCTACTAGCTATGCTATCCAACGTAGCAACACATACCTGCTGTGAGCATGTGGCTGAGAAAAAAACACTGCACTGTAAGCAATGTCTCTACGTGAAACCAGGCAGCAACTGCATCAGAAAACATGTGGTGGATGTCAGACAATGTAAGTGTCTTACCGGGGAAGATTTCCAGGTCGGGCTCTTTGTTGCAGTAGTCTGTGGTACAGCACATGGGGTAAATGCCTGTGTCATGCTTGACAGATGGGGCACAGATGAAGGGCCGGTCTCGCGGGATCAGTTCGTTTTCATGCACGCACTGGCGCTGCTCTGTGGTCAGCCGACTGCCTGACTTGCGGATGGCGACGAAGCAGACGCCATCGGTTGTGCAGCTGGAGTTGGCACTGCAGCGGTCACAGTAACATTGGAGGGCTGAAGGAGGAAAGGGGCAAGGAAAAATTAGAATAGAGGCCTGACATAGTCCTGCACTTTTGTCCTAATTATAGACACATATCAGTAAAAATCAGTGTGTGTGTTTGTGTCTGTGTGTGGAAAGGAAACTCTGCCTGAGGGAATGTGAGACGTTACATCACTCCAGTCATCACAGTCATCTCACACACACACACACACACACACACACACACACACACACACACACACACACACACACACACACACACACACACACACACACACACACACACACACACACACACACACACACACACACACACACACACACACCCCCAAACGTTTACTATGTCATTGGCAGGAGAGACAGACACACACACACACAGCTGTAGTAATGCTGGAGAACATACGGCTGACATCAGGAAAGGCCAAGAATCTGATGTTTTAACTGGAAATGAAAGTCAGGCCCTGTCTCACTGATGTCAGATTGTAATATTTATTATTCCTTATTAATATGAATTTACTCAGACACAAGAACTGCACAATGTTCAGGCTATACTTTTAAATCTACATGTATATTTTCAGGGTTATTAAAATAGCTACATTTAGTCAAGTGCTACACTATGTGCCATCAGTGAAACACGTTTATTATATTTAACCTTTATCTAACCAGAAAGTCCCCTGAGATTGGAATCTCTTTTCCAAGAGAGACCTCACCAAGTGGTTACAGTTTAAATAGAAATAAAACACAACCACCAGGGAATACAAATACGCAAGGAAGGGACAAAAAACCTGCTCAAATAAGGCACTTACATGGACTTTTAACATGGCTTTTGTTGGTGGTTGTAAGAAAAAACGAAAAATGCCAGTCTGATCATTTAAACTTCCTACTGAACTTACAGGTTACACACAGTGCGCATGCATATCTGCCTACCATTACCAAGTTAACCACAGTATTCTCATCTTTGCAGGTAACAAACATACACAGGGACATTTAATTCATGTATTCTAGTAGAAATGGAAAGCTGAGAGCCACATCAAAGCCTGCTTACATGTGCCACTAATAGAATAACTTCAACCCATCAGTACATTTTTTTAATCAAATGGAAAAAGGAAGCATATCATGGGAATGATGCTCCTGTCCAAAGACATAGTCCTATCTTTATTTCATTCGCAGTAACATTTTTCCTTTCAAGCAGATATCAGTCCAAATCCAATCCAATTTCCTCCATCGTTCTTGAATTTCCACATGAATCCTTGAGTTGTGTTCAGCTGGTCAAAGCCTTTACTTATGGCCATCACATGATGAGGACATGCAGTTCTCTTGTTTCATAACAAATGGATGTGGAAAAGTTGGCTGAAAGAGGAAACTACAGTTCATAATTAAATCAGATAAATGTTGCACTGTGCATCAGGCCTCAGGCTATCCAATTAGGACACCCATTTATCTTCTGCATCGCTAATCAAAGCTAACCGCAAACTGTAGCATCCCACAGTCCGAGTGATGCTGCTACAAACACAGAGGCAGGATGTTTTGATGCGTCTTCAGGGGACATGATCATTTCGAATATTTATTTTTTTTGGTGTGAGTCTTATGGAGCTTAAATACACAGAGACTCTGTGAGAAGCGTGTGTTGTCATCCTGGCTGTTTATCTAAAAAGCTGTTGGAGCCACAGGTCAGGGCATCTTTAATTAACCTTCCGACACTGAGAAACAGAGTCAGGAATGTGCTTAATGTGAGGAAGTCTGCTTAGCAATCCCTTAGGCCTTCAAACCATTAGGAATGGTGTTGTGGAGCGCTATGAATAAACCAGGCCACTCGCTCTCTATCTCTCTGTGTGTCCTTGCCCCTGACACAGGGCAGACAGAGAGCTGAGAGCCTGGTATCATTATGCAGCTCAGAAACACATCATGCACGGCTGGCCGGGTTAAAGCAACACACACCTTCTAAGACCAGACCTCTGAATAATTAACAGGGCAGGCGCGGTCTGGGGTTCAGGCGTTGAGAGTGTCTGACATCGACAAACAGGCAGATACAGTATGAAAGGTACATCGGTGGATATCTGCCCAGTGGTCGTCACAGTGGGAATGTAAAAGCAGGGTTCCCAGACCACAGCAACAGATAGCCACTCTTTTATTTTTAGATTTCAAGATGATAAACTCTGCATATCAATCAATCAATGATAAAACTAGGATCAAAAATAAATTCAATCAAATCAATAAAAACACAAGCATACATATCAGAGCTGTATATTGGCAAGAATCTGGCAATACGATATGTATGACGACACAGGGGTTACGATTCAATATATTGTGATACTCTAAGCAAGGCGATATATTGCCATATTTTTTAATTAAAATTACATTTCAGGAAAGCTTTTATAGTTTAAAGACAACCATATGCATAGAATCCTCATAGTCCTCACAGCTAACTAGAGGTTGGAGGTTTAGATACATTTAGAACTGAACCTGATACTAGTTACTTGTAGGAATTAATTCAGGGCGTTTTCACACATACCTCATTTGGTCCGGACCTTCGGACCAAAATTGTAGGTGAGAAAGGTGCCACGGACCACGGTCCGGATCAAAAGACCAAAATTTGGTCCGAGCTAAAGAGGTGGTCTCGGTCCGGATCAAACTGAACCATGGTTCGGTTCGTTTACAGTATGAAAACACTTTTTGGATGGTTCGGACTTTCGGACCAATTACAGGAAGTTAGGCATATGTACCATAGAAGAAGGAGAAAAAAAAAACGGAAGAAAAACCCTGCCAGACCAAGCAAAAATGAGTCGTGGAAGTACGTGGGGAGAGGAGGAGATTAGATGTTTATGTTGGTAGTAATACCATAATAACGCAATCGGGATTTGCTCATTCATTTTCATTCATACGGAAAAGACTACCCGCCAAAATGACAGCCCGCCAACGTCAGATGCACGCCCGTCTACCAATACTCACCAATCAAAGGGAGACGCAACACACGTACTTGGTGACAACACGCCGTAGGTATGTCATGGAAAGTTCTTTAGTGCGCTAGCAAAATTACTATGTGAAACCGAAAATAACGGGATCAAATGTATACAATGTAATTAAACACGAACGTTGGTCCGGACTTTTAGTTGTGAAAACGCCCTCAGTCACTGGAAGTGGAATCTAATCAGCTCTATGCCAAAAAACATCGTCTGGATGTACAAACAGACGAAATATTAAAAACAGACACTGATAACAAAAAACAGCCACTGCTAGTCAGACCAGCACTTTGGCCAAAATACAGACAGAAAACAATGAATACATGTATAGTGTGTGTGTGTGAGCGGTGGTAAAATAAGGTAAATGGTAAATGAACTGTACTTATATAGCACCTTCATAGTCATTCGACTACTCAATGTGCTGTACACTACATGCCACATTCACCCCTTTCACACACATTCATACACTGATGGCAGTGGCTGCCATTCATACACATTTAAACACCGATGCACAGCAATTTGGGGTTCAGTATCTTGCTCAAGGACACGTGCAGCGAGAGGAGCCGGGGATCGGGAATTATATTTATTATGAATCATATGTTTTCCCTCTAGACAAATTTCGAAAATTGACAAAGCCAGGCCAGGGTTTCCCGCAGCACTTTGCAGCTAAGGCGGCCTCCTCAGCAACACATGCCTGCCGCCTTGACTACGTCCTCAAAAAAAAAAGTAGGCAGAGTGATATGAGCAATATGAGCGATATCCACCGTGTTACTCTATCCTGTTTTCTCCCTTTTATTCGAAACCGCGTTGCGTTTACACGTGGTTGTCTTATAGCTATACGTTTGATGATTGCACGTGATTTTCTCTCGCATTGTACACAGCCAAATGGACCCCCCTCCACATACTGCGGATGGAGAAAGTCAGCAGACACACACACAGGGAGAGAGAGACAGAAAGAGGCAGAGCAAGCGGGGGTGTTTGCCGTGAGTGACCAGAGGTCCAGGCTAGGTCCAGCTGTGTGAGCTGTGCGTGAGTGTGGGGAGAAGAGAAAGGGAGCAGATTAAAGTAGTAAGTAAACACTAAAATAGAATAACTTACTGTCAATAAAAATACAATATAGGCGTACACCGCTACCACCCCACGGGCCGCCGCCACCGCCGCAGTTACACTGTCTTAACGAGAGCTCAACAGTCCGTGGACTTTTGTGTCGCGATTACGGTCTCGGTTTCAGAACCGTTACAGCCCTCAGTTTCTTTCTTACATTCTAACCAAATGTCATGAAAATGGGCTCAGAATTAAGTGAGTTACAGTCAATCTTGTAGTCAAGTCATCTCGCAGTACTGATAACTAGCGGATCTTGACCTCTGCTATGGCGACTGTACAAATGTATAGCGGCGGCACACAGAGGTGGCCAAGAGGCCTCTATGTTTCCATATCTATGGTTCCAACTTCCAAAAAAGTTGATAGGAGTTCAAATATTCTATTCCTCCTTTTGCCCCTGTTGCCCAGTTTGAAAACCACTGATGTAAAGATTCTAACACTATAAAGTATTCAGTAAATGCCAGTAAAAGTGTCCATTACATTACAAGGAAGAAATACAGTACCAGTCTGAGAATGTCATAACTTTATCCAAGTCTTAATCTAACAGCAGGCTTTCTCACTCGTGGAATTCATGGAATTGTCTGGAGGTGAATTCCAGACAGACAAAGTTGGGGAAGTGCATACAATTACAACAGCAAAACAACAGCAACTCTGTGTGTGTGTGTGTGTGTGTGTGCTGTGTCTGTGTGTTTGTAGTGCAGGCAGTGGAGTTTCAAGAAGAAAGGAAAAACCACTCGAGCAGAGAATGACAGGAGACAACCAAATAAAAGCCAGGTGACACTGGTCTCCTTTGAGTCAAACTCAGAACAGATTAGTCAGATAAGATTCAGATAAGTCTGCCCCACCAACACAGACCCAGACACACACACACACGGAGCAGTGTGTCAGCAAAGTATGTCTCCGATGTCTAGACTACAAAACAACTGAAATGTTCCAGATGTTGTATAAAAAGA